AGCTTCCCTATCTTCATCAACATTTAACAATTCCTCAAAATATTCCTTCCATCTTCCCAATACCTCTACCTCTCCATTTAATAACTCTCCTCTCCTATTTTTAACTGACAAATCCATTTGTTCTCTAGGCTTTCTTAACTTGTTAATCTCACTCCAAAACTTTTTTTTATTTTCAACAAAATTTGTTGATAACATCTCACCCACTCTCTCATTTGCTCTCTTTTTACATTGCTTCACCACTCTCTTAACTTCTCTCTTTTTCTCCATATACTCTTCCCTCCTTGCATCACTTCTACTTTGTAAAAACTTCTCATATGCTAACTTTTTCTCCCTTACTACTCTCTTTACATCATCATTCCACCAATCGCTCCTCTTCCCTCCTGCACCCACTTTCCTGTAACCACAAACTTCTGCTGAACACTAACACTACATTTTTAAACCTACCCCATACCTCTTCGACCCATTGCCTATGCTCTCATTAGCCCATCTATCCTCCAATAGCTGTTTATATCTTACCCTAACTGCCTCCTCTTTTAGTTTATAAACCTTCACCTCTCTCTTCCCTGATGCTTCTATTCTCCTTGTATCCCATCTACCTTTTACTCTCAGTGTAGCTACAACTAGAAAGTGATCTGATATATCTGTGGCCCCTCTATAAACATGTACATCCTGAAGTCTACTCAACAGTCTTTTATCTACAATACATAATCCAACAAACTACTGTCATTTCGCCCTACATCATATCGTGTATACTTATTTATCCTCTTTTTCTTAAAATATGTATTACCTATAACTAAACCCCTTTCTATACAAAGTTCAATCAAAGGGCTCCCATTATCATTTACACCTGGCACCCCAAACTTACCTACCACACCCTCTCTAAAAGTTTCTCCTACTTTAGCATTCAAGTCCCCTACCACAATTACTCTCTCACTTGGTTCAAAGGCTCCTATACATTCACTTAACATCTCCCAAAATCTCTCTCTCTCCTCTGCATCCTCTTCTTCTCCAGGTGCATACACGCTTATTATGACCCACTTCTCGCATCCAACTTTACTTTAATCCACATAATTCTTGAATTTACACATTCATATTCTCTTTTCTCCTTCCATAACTGATCATTTAACATTACTGCTACCCCTTCCTTTGCTCTAACTCTCTCAGATACTCCAGATTTAATCCCATTTATTTCCCCCCACTGAAACTCTCCTACCCCCTTCAGCTTTGTTTCGCTTAGGGCCAGGACATCCAACTTCTTTTCATTCATAACATCAGCAATCATCTGTTTCTTGTCATCCGCACTACATCCACGCACATTTAAGCAACCCAGTTTTATAAAGTTTTTCTTCTTCTCTTTTTTAGTAATTGTATACAGGAGAAGGGGTTACTAGCCCATTGCTCCCGGCATTTTAGTCGCCTCATACGACACGCATGGCTTACGGAGGAAAGATTCTTTTCCACTTCCCCATGGACAATAGAAGAAATAAAAAAGAACAAGAGCTATTTAGAAAAAGGAGAAAAACCTAGATGTATGTATATATATATATGCATGTGCGTGTCTGTGAAGTGTGACCAAAGTGTAAGTAGGAGTAGCAAGATATCCCTGTTATCTTAGCGTGTTTATGAGACAGAAAAAGAAACCAGCAATCCTACCATCATGCAAAACAGTTACAGGTTTTTGTTTCACAGTCATCTGGCAGGACGGTAGTACTTCCCTGGGTGGTTGCTGTCTACCAACAGTATATACGACGATATATGCGCTCTGGTAGTGTGCCATACGCTATTCCAAGGGGAAGGAGTACATCTCGGAGTACATCCTGTGCACAACAGGAACAGATAGTGAAATTGAAGATGATAGTGTTGCAATTGGGATGGAAAATGTGCATGGTGGTGGTAGTGGTGGTGCCGGTCGTGAGGCACCAGCAGTGGGCCATGCTGCCACCCACACCGCTGCCTCAGCTGATCTACAACAAAGGCCACCATCCCCCACCCAAACCCCCCCACCATACCAGCCTCCACAACCACAACCTCCACAACCACCTGTTAATATCCAGTACCCACCAGCAAACTACACCTGGGATTGGCAGGAAGCTGGCAATTTTGTTCCCAATCCACATCAGTTTGATGAAAGTCGAAGTGGAATACGGCCATCTTGTACACTTGGGAACGATGCCACTGAACTAGAATGTTTTGAGTTATTCTTTGACCAACCCCCGATGGAAATTATTGTCAGGGAAAGCAACACATACTTCGACATCATGGCAAACAATACTTTCACCAAAATCACGTCTACGCCAGTGGAAGGAGACAACTGTGGCTGAGATGTATCTTTTCTTTGCCACAATAATGCTTATACCACATGTGCATAAGCAGTGTCAAATCATACTGATCAACAGACCACCTGATTGCAACCCCAGGATTCAGTGATATAATGCGAGTGAATCTGTGCTACTATTACATATGCTTCACTTCTCAGACAAAACCAGGCCTGACAGAAATGACAGGTTATACAAGATTAGGAATGTGTTTGTGTACCTGAAAGAGAAATTTAATATGTATTTTTATCCCTTCAGGAAGTTTGTTATTGATGAGTCTGATTCTGTTCAAAGAAGACTCTCATTCAAGCAGTATATACCAAGCAAGAGGAAATGCTTTGGTATAAAGTTATTTGTGCTTTGTGACTGCTACAGTGGTCTTGTATTAGATATTATTGTGTACACTGGAATTTATACATTGCAAAATACCAGGAGGTTATTGGGCATCTCTGGTGATGTAAGAACAATGCTGGAACCAAATCTTGGTAAGGGGGCAAATATTATATACTGATAACTGGTACACAAGCCCCTCACTCGGTGATTTTTTGCGAGTGAACATGACAGATGTGTGGGCACAATGCATGCAAATCGTAAGCATATGCCCAGGTTTGACGCTGGCACTCAGAGGCGAGGTGCAGGCATTTGCTGCCAATGACATGGCATTTCGGTGACATGACAAACGAGATGTCACACTGTTGTCATCAGTTTACCCTAACGAAATGGCAGACACTGGCAGGCAGAATAGAGATACCAATGAACCCATTCTAGAACAGGCAGCTGTGATTGATTACACCTTCAATATGCATTCGGTGGACAAATGTGACATGCAGATTGGGTTTGCTGATTGTGTTCGCAAGAGTTATAAGTGGTACATAAAACTCTTTTTCCATCTTCTGGACATTTCCATGCTCAATGCTTATAAAATGTATAAGATGAGGAAGCATGGGTGATGAATGTTGCAGCGAGGAGAAGGCTAGAGGCAGTGGAGATGTCATGTCTGAGGGCAATGTGTGGTGTGAATATAATGCAGAGAATTCGTAGTTTGGAAGTTAGGAGGAGGTGCGGGATTACCAAAACTGTTGTCCAGAGGGCTGAGGAAGGGTTGTTGAGGTGGTTCGGACATGTAGAGAGAATGGAGCGAAACAGAATGACTTCAAGAGTGTATCAGTCTGTAGTGGAAGGAAGGCGGGATAGGGGTCGGCCTAGGAAAGGTTGGAGAGAGGGGGTAAAGGAGGTTTTGTGTGCGAGGGGCTTGGACTTCCAGCAGGTATGCGTGAGCGTGTTTGATAGGAGTGAATGGAGACAAATGGTTTTTAATACTTGACGTGCTGTTGGAGTGTGAGCAAAGTAACATTTATGAAGGGGTTCAGGGAAACCGGCAGGCCGGACTTGAGTCCTGGAGATGGGAAGTACAGTGCCTGCACTCTGAAGGAGGGGTGTTAATGTTGCAGTTTAAAAACTGTAGTGTAAAGCACCCTTCTGGCAAAACAGTGATGGAGTGAATGATGGTGAAAGTTTTTCTTTTTCGGGCCACCCTGCCTTGGTGGGAATCGGCCAGTGTGATAATAATAATAATAAAATAAGATGAGGACCAGAAACAAACAACCATATGGCGAATTTTGTTTGTCAGAAACAGTATTAAAGTACCAAGGAACAACACCTGCAATAGAAAACCGCCCACTAAATTATCAACGACTACCTTCTCGTCTGAAGCATGGTAATCACTTCCTAATACAATTGCCTGCAACTGCTTTCAAGAAAAAGGCTCAGAAGAGGTGTTACGTCTGTGCACATACAAAAAACGCCCACAACAACACAGACACTCGTTTTATGTGTGAGGAGTGTAAAACACCACTGTGCATGACACCATGTTTCAAAAAGTGCTCCACAGGCTGCAGAACTTCAAGAAATATGTTCTGTGACTGTATATGTGTATATAAAATATAGAAAAATAGTAATAAACAACATTTTATATAGTTCGTTTGTGTAAACAAGTTTTCTAAACAATGTAGTGACAACAGTGTTTGTGCAGTTATTGTGTAGTAAATAAAGAGAAAAAACTTACAAAATAGGGCTCATATTGGTCTCACAGGCCATTACTTGAAAGTTACTTGAAAAATTAAAAAATAATAGAAAAAGTATAAAAAAATAAAAAGAAAATACCAGGTGACCGGCAGTCGGCGATGATGCCACATGCGGCTCATTTTCTGTCAACTTTACGCCTCCATATCTAGGTAAGTATTGATGGAAAAAAAAATTTTTAGCCAATATTTTTTAGAAAAAAAAAACAAAATCTTTTCATAAGAAAAAATAACTTTTATTTTTTGAAAATTTCTCGACCCTGAGAACAAGTCTGGGAGAGGGCCTGTCGACCCTGAAAAGGTTAAGGGCTAATGGTCACCATCCTAAGTCAGACCAAAATGTCATCTTAAGTTTCATTCTTCTATATGCTGGTTATACGAGTATACTTGCTACATTCTTTCAACATTTACAAATCTACTATGTATGTATGTTTAAGATAAAAACCATGAAAAAAGCTATAAAAAAAAAAAAGATTACCACATGTAAGAGCCAATCACTGTGGTACAACTTTGACTTTCATTTACAAACTATGGCAAGGTCCGCACACATAATGCTGGATGCTTTTTATATTCATTTATACAAAATTTATTCATATATTCACCTGCTTACTTCATATCTCCCCCACCTACCTTGTGGAAACTGCAGAAGACTGGTCAGTATCTGAAGATGAAGAGGAGTCAGATGAAGACGAAGATGATGAAGAGGATGAAGAAGTTGAAGATGACGACGACGAGCCACTAGTTGAACTAGTCGATTCTGAACTGGTGTTACGAATCTTAAAGAATAAAGAACTTGGTTTTTATTTTGCAACACAAAGTGGCAATGTATTTAATTCTTGACAATTAGTGATATTTAAAGAGCTGACATCGACTTTTATTACTATTAAACTTTAATAATATGCCATACAGTAGACCCTCTGTTTTCATTACCCTCCGATTTCGTGATTTTCGGTTATCACCGACTTTTTCATCAAAATATAGTCCGTTTTCGTTAATTCCCTCTAGTTTTGTCAGTTGTACAGAACACATCCGAGTGCCTGCGCACACACAAAGCCTCCCACACACACATTCTGAGTCAGTGTGGCATCGTTTCTCAGCAAGTGAACATGACCCTGCGAGGTCATAAGAAACATTTCATAATAATCCATAGTTTTTTGTGCTTGTTTATTGTATTTGACTGTTAAATAAGCCACCATGGGCCCAAAAAAAAGCTCCTAGTGCCAGCCCTTTGATAAAGAAGGTGAGAAACCCGACAGAATTCGAGAAAGAACACACCAGCCAGGGTACTTCCCCACACACACTACCCAGGGTGCTTCCCCATATGCACACCAGCCAGGGTGCTTCCCCCACATACACCAGCCAGGGTGCTTCCCTCCATAAGGACTTCAGGTATCAAGGCCCTATCTGGGGTTGTACTTCCCTTCTTTGTCTTTTACTGGCACCAGGACCAGCTTGAGAGTCACAGGACCTCAGTTACACAAAAAAATCTGTCCAGAGAGGTCTGTTTCTGGCATCTCTAAGATTTGCCTAAAATGGGACAAGGCATTGTCATTGAACACATTGCAGACATGACTTGCAACAGCTTTGTTAGCGTTATATTTCTCCACAAAGTTTTGCAACTCATTCCACTACACAAATGTCCTCAATTGGTGAAGGCACATTCTTCTCTCTCTCTTCATCCTCCTCTGAAGAGTATGCCACTTTTGTACTTTGCTACGAGTTCTTTCTTGAATTCTATCGTGTTTCTCGCCTTCTTTATCAAAGGGCTGGCACTCGGAACTTTCTTTGGCCCCATCACATTCAGTAAACAAACACAAAAAAAAAAAAAAATGGATTACAAAATGTTTCAGATGAACGCGCAGGGTAATGCTCACTCAACGAGAAACAAAGCCAGACCGAGTCAGAATGCATGGGATGCTTCGTGTGGGCGCAGGGAGGCGGACGCATTTGGTAGGGGGGACCATTGTCAACTCTACAAAAACCGAGCAGATGTATGAAAACTGGGACAAAATTTAGCTTAAGTCGTTGAAAACCGAATCCTATGAAAACCAGGGCATACGAAAACTGAGGTTCCACTGTAATTTGTAATAGTAATACAGCAACCCACAGTTTATGGCCGGTGCAGAAATTTTACAATTCGGATTTCGAGCACTTTTTTCAACAAAATTCCCCCCCCGGGTTTCGTACATCCGCTCAGAAATCGTTGGTGCCAGATGCATCTGTCTAGGCTGCTCATATAGTAGCGACTCGCTCTTGGGCACATTAAATGTCTTATTTTACGTTAATACAGTGGTACCTCGGGATACGAACAGCACAAAACTCGAACACTTATGTAAGTGTATTTATGCAAGTGCTTTTGTAAGTGTATTTTTGGGGGTCTGAAACAGATTAATCAAATTTACATTATTCCTTATGGGAACAAATTCATTCAGTATCAGCACTCGAACAGCCTTCTAAAACAAATTAAGTTCATATCCCAAGGTACCACTGTATAAACATTTTCTTTAATCCATCTACGATATTTTCTTCAAAATTATACAAGGAACACATTGCATAACATATAAACATATGCTATCAAAGGGTCAGTGGAGGGTAAACATTACATTTTCTCTGGTCCAACTTCAGAGAATACATGTATGAATCTGCGTTGGACCGGTAGCCGCCCTTAATACATAGGCTTTTGTTTACAATTCTCGGCATGAATTATTCATTACTTCTCCCTTTGTTATGATGGCATTAATGGAAGTTGTTAGAAACTATTAAACTCAGTGAACATGGTATGTCGATGGTAATATGGCTGTAAGCTGTAGTTTATGTAGCCAGTAGGTATGCACCTGGGATATAGTCTGCCTGGGACTACAAATAAATACTTGTACAAATTTATAGATGAAATATGTAGTCTTGGAGTGCTTGATGCATCACTGATCCCTTTAAAATGAACTTTTGTACTTCTACCATTTTCTTGTTGTTTTTTCCTCTTGGAAGGGGGAAAAAAAAAAAACAGGAAATTTGTACAAATATGTAGTCTTGGAGACTGTGAAAGCTAGTGTACTGAGTGGCTGTAGGAAGGAGATTCAGATGCTTGATGCTGAGATGCTGCGCTGCCCATTCATGACCCAAGTTCTTGTACAGTAAATAAAAAAAAAAAAAAAAAAAAAAAGCCACAATACCGTGACTGGAACGACACACAAACAACCCGCACTGTGGCCTCATGACTCCAGTCTCTTCCAACCTTTTCTTGAAGCTCTTAATAATCTTGCCCCTTCCATTAAGTTTAAAGCTGAATGGGAATCTAATTCCTTGCTTCCTTTACTTGATGTCCATGTCCACCGCTCAGATACAGGTTTTTCCTTTTCCGTTTACCGAAAACCTATGCACAGTGGCATGTACATTCACTACTTTTCCTACCATGCTTCCCCTGTCAAGAAAAGTGTTCTTATCTCCCTCTTTCTCCGTGCCCTCCTCATCTGTGATCCTCAGTTCCTTCCAGCAGAAATTTCCACTCTTCATACTAATTCGTTTTCTCGTCTTGGCTACCCTTCCCATTTCATACTCTGCCCTCTCACGTGCTAAACGTAATTTCTTCTCTCCCAAACTCTCTACTCCTGGGAACTCTTCTGTCCTCTGCCTTCCCTAAATTTCCGGTCTTTCTAATCTCAACAATTCTCTCCGTCCCTTAGACATCAAGCTTACTTTCTGCCAGACTAACACTCTTTGCACTAATCTCGTTCATACCTCTCCTCCCTCTACAGATGTTCCTGGTGTCTATTATTTCTTGCTCCTCCTGTCCTCTTCAATACTTTGGGGAAACTGGTCATCTCTTTCTGACAGACTTAGGGAGCACAAAAATAGTTAGGCTTGCCAACACTAATAATGCTCTTTTCTGTCACGTCAGAGATCATAGCCATCCTACTGACTGGTCTTCTGCTAAAACTGTCTTTCCTACTTCCAACTTTAACAATTGCCGTCTGGTTGAATCCTCGCTAATACACAACTTTCCTTGTATGAATCTTAGTCCTGGCTTCGTCTCTTTAGATGCCTTCCTCTCCCACTACATTGTAAAATGCTCCAAACTTCAGAACACCCGTGACTTAGCCTGATTCCTCCTTTTTTCTTCTTCTCCCTCTTCCCCTTTCCTTTCCTTTTTTTCTTTTCTCTTCTGGGTTGTCTTTCTTGCTTCTGTCTTGTGTTTCTGTTCTTTCATTATTTATTTCATTACTTCCCCTCCCTCAACCTCTGTGGGCACCTAGCTCCCTTGCAGTGCTCCCCTTTCTTGGCATTTGACTGGCTCCTCCTCCTCCTCAATTCCCCACTACTACTACTACATGTACTACTACCACCACTACCTCTTCCTGCCTATGTACACTGTATACCCATCCTGCTCCACTTCTCGTTAGTTTGACTTTGTAAACGGTCAAAGTCGGACCGAAACGTCGTCATAAGCTCCTCTCTTCTAAGTGCGGGTTGTTTGTGTGTGGTTCTTGTACAGTACAATAACGACTCATCAGAGAGCCTGTCGTAACTCCAAGTTGTCGGTAAACGAGCACGTCAGTGAGGAGGCGCTGTATGGCAAACCAAAGCTGAAACCTGACAATTCGCAGAGTGGAACAGGATACCCCTCCATGAGACACCCATGAGCGAGACGTGTGTTCCCAATGCAAAGTTGGGAAAGTGTAGTCTCCCAATCACAACACTGATAATAAGACCAGGATCCTCAACTTGGCTTTATAGAATGCAATTTGTTATAAATAAAATTTGACCGAGCAGAAAATGATTTCTTTGATTTTGCTAAAAGTGCAGGGCAACCAAGGTTGTATATAAAGAACTAGGGAACGAGGTGAATTGAATTTTTTGATAGCTTGCCTGGACACAATATGTATAATTGCTACAAGAACTACATACAGTTCAGCTGTGAAAATGCTAGCCAAGTCTAATGAATGACCTTGCACAACACTGTCAAGGAACATTGCTGCAAAACCCGACATCTGAGGATTTAAAACCGTCAGTGTAAACTACAACAGTACAAGAATAAGACTGGAAGTGGTTGCAAAACTGTTTTTGAGCTTAAGTGCACAGCAGTGTGGAAGAAAAGACTAACTGTCAGAACCTCCCAAGGGGAAAGAGAAAAGTTAGATACTTGACAAACATATAAAGGGAGCAACTGAAGAGAAACCAAGAGCAAGTGAAGATGCAGAGTAAAGGGACAGAGTAAACAGGGGTGGCAAACAAATAATGGATCTCTACTAACATCCGTTACCATCCTGTAAGTAGAAAGATCATAGGGGTCATGACAGGATAAAATAACACAGACAATGGGCATCATATCAATCATTGAAGGATGGAACGTTCACCTCTGCATACAGGCTCTCGACACAGGAGGAACGAAAAGGATCTAAGCATAATCCCTGATGAGGAATGGGATCAAGTTTAGAAAGTTCTGGGAGAGGCTGCAGAATATAGTATCTGGTTGCCATAGTCTAGTTTCAATAAAATTAGGGCTTAATGAAGTTGTAGGAGAGTTCAACAATCCCCCCCTCCGCCCTCCATGAAGGATGGGCGAGGGTTTTAAGGAGGTTCAGCCAGCTATGGCAAATTACTTTCAGGGATTTAATGCGAGGTTTCCAGGAGAGCCAGCGATCAAACAGAAGGTTGAGAAATCCGACCATATCACGTTCAGAGATATGGGAGCCGTACAAGTACAGTGGACCCCCGGTTTACGATATTTCATTCCAGAAGTATGTTCAGGTGCCAGTACTGACCGAATTTGTTCCCATAA